CACACTATGAAGCCCCAGCAAGGGGAATTTGACCATGCATCAACTCCCAGAGTCGGGAAATTTTGACATCCGCCATCTTGAAAGTTTGCGCGGTTTTGACATTGAAAGGCCTGGTAACAAGTATGGCAGAAATGCACGATCAAGTTTCATCGAAAAAGGTATTTTATAGCCTTTTATACACAGTGTCTCAATTTTTACCAAGTTTAAACCAGTATAGACTGTATGTTCGCATTGGAAAACATATGTGTGCCTTGTTATCTTAGGAATATAGTGGGGAATTTTGACGGCCGTTCCTTGCCCAACAGTGGGGATTTTGACCACAAAATTTTAAAAATGTCAAAATTCCCCTGGGTTGCCTGCACCCCCACCCCAGGGGGGAAACATTGATAGGTGCATTAGTATTTTCAAGGATATATTTAAGTGAGGATATTAAATTACGATACCGCCCTAATCACTGTTCATAAAATTATTTAGACTAAAATTAATGGTGCAATGGCGACAGCTAGTGGCCTTTAGTCTCGGGGTTCAACTACGCGCTCCAAGAACATTCATAAATATTCAAATACACCGTTTTGAAAACAGCCAATTAGCTCGACAAAAATCCAAAATGGCGGACGAAGACGAGCCTATAACTTTCAATTCTCGCTCGAAGTCGCCTTATGATAAATTCTCGAACTTTTACGAGGCGGAAATCAAATTGCCTGAAGGAGTGTTCAGATCGATCGAACATTATTTTCAAGCAATGAAATTTATCGACAAAAATCATTCAAGATTCGAAATGAATGGTGATCTGGGCAAGCGAAAGTTTGACAGTGGCAGTTGGAAAGAAAGTGTCTCCAGAGGGCGGTTTATCAAGTCTGCGGGTGGGAAGTCTGGTACCCAGAAATATAAACTGACGCTACGATCTGACGGACTGGACCGAGAGAGAGCAAAACAGAAAATGAAGGAAGGTAAGTATTGGGAAGTGGAAACATCCGATTTTATTTCTATTTGAGGCTAATGTCTCCCAGATATAACTCTCGAGAACTAACTTCTTAAAAATGCCGGTTTAGTGGGCTAACCTTGTCACCTTCGCCCCCCCCCCCCGGTTTAAGAGCTCCCATCCCTTGTTATCATTTCAGTTCTACACCACTGAGTAAAACCAAAATTAACCATATTGCTCGTTTGCAATCAACGCCATCTTGGTTGATTTTCGTGGCAACTAAAAATCTATATTCTTCATTCTTTGTCGTATTGTGCCGGAAATCGTAAATTATCCATAATACAGTAAGATGTTTTCAAAACAAACCAAAAATATTAAAGTAACTCAACTATTTCGATTTAAACGGCTGGACAAAACTTTAAAATCAACCAATCAACCATGTCATGTGCAAGCAAAGAATATGTTTGTTATTTTGCTGCAGGTCTACGAAAAAAATTTGCATCCAAGCCATTCAGAAAGTTACTTTTGGAAACCGGTACACGCATGTTGGTTCACACACCAATGAGAGGGAAAACAGATTATTGGACAGGAAGAGTGGACAAGACAAGTGGAAACATCAATGGGGAAAATAACATGGGCAAGTTGTTGATGGAAGTACGACAGGAATTGAAAAAAACTGAAAAACGTTCTCAAAAGAAGGGCAAAAGTATTGGCGCAATTAAAGATAAAGGCAAAAGTAAATTCGTTGACGAAAATAAAGACGATGACGACATCAAAGATGAAAATAAAGGCGTTGACGACATCAAAGACGAAGGTAAAGGCGTTGACGACATCAAAGATGATAACCAAAAAGGCGGTGACGTAATTAAAGGCGATGACGAAATCACGACAAGTAAAACGAAGGATAGTCCGGGCTATAAGGCGGCAAAGAGGAAGCACGGGGGCAATGATGTACAAGTGAAGAACCCTGATGAGGAGGTATCCAAAGGTCCCAAAATCAAGCGAAAGAAAATTGAAGAGAAGTCGAAAGACGTTCTCGAAGGCAGAGACGAAAATAAAGACGGTGACAAAAATAAAGACGACGACAAGAAAGGCGGTGTCGAAGACAAAGGCGATGATGCCGAAACCTCGCGTGAAACGATGGAGGGTTCGGGGAATAAGGGTGAGAAGAGGAAACGTGAGGATGATGATGTACAAGAGGAGCGTCTCGATGAGGAAGTACCTGAAGATCCCAACATCAAGCGAAAGAAAATTGAAGAGAAATCGAAAGATGATCTTGAAAATAAAAGCGGCGACGAAAATGAGAGCGATGGCGAAGAAACCACTCATGAAACAAAAGAATAGGCAGTTTTTAGTAAGCACTATCGTACAGCAGATGGTGGTCAACTAGCACATCTCAGAGTGAGAAAGTGATCCGTTAATTCTTTATTATATGTAGAGAGATTCATTAGATTCTTTCATTGTATTTGGAGGACAGTGAAAAAAGGCGAGAGTTTAATTTGCTCTGAAACGAGGTGTTAAGATTTTTGAAGTGTACCGCTATGTGCTGGCCAATAATGCTCACTAAAAGCTACTAGTAAATCATGTACGATCATATTTTTGTGGTGACAAACTTTTCTCAACTTGAAAATGAATTTAAACATCGAAATCTCGTTATTTTAAACTAAAGTTTTTAATCACTTTGTGTCAAAATAAGGAAATCAATATCATAATGACATGCATTTGATTGTAATAAATAAATAAATACGTTGATTTTTATAGACAGTTATTGATAATAAATATTGATAATTTCACATTGATGCAGGGGCACAGTTTCAATGGCGCTTTGTTCTTAACTAGTTGGTTTCAAATCTCCTGCAAGGAGTATGCCCGTTCGCAGGTTAGGCAGTGGACTTTCCGATTTCCCTAATCCTCTGTGATGATCTGTGCCTTTGATGACCTTCGTCGTTTGTTACAGTTCGTCGTGCAATGCTAGGTGTTTATGTAATTCTCTTTCCATGGTCGGGTCATGTGCTCGTGAGTTATGGTAATTTATAAGTGCGCCATCTAGTTTCATCTGTAGTTCAGTGTATGTACCGGTTTCTTTACTCCCAAGAAGACTTGCAACTAACTCGCGTGCTTTTTGCATTGATCCTCCAAGCTCCTGTAAAACAAATTTCAAACACTCATTAATAATTCATTTTGCCAATAGGCAAATCATGTCAACCATAATATGTCACGTGCAGTGGCTTTAAACCTGATAAAACACTCCTAATTAGTATTCTTTATATAAAGAATACTAATAAGGCAGTATCTATTGTAGTCGTGTCCTCATTAGTATTTTTTATATAAAGAATACTAATAAGGCAGTATATCTATTGAATTTGTAGTCGTGTTTGAAGCCGTTTAATAAACTCGCAGGTCGTGTTTTATTAGGTATAAAGCCACTCGCGTTGCGCGCTCGTGTCTTTAAACCTAATAAAACACTCCTGCTCGTTTATTAAACAGTACATAATCAGTTCATGCTGTGTATTATCAGGATCTCATACAAGAACATATTAAAAAAGATAGCATGAATACCTGCATGTAACCTTCGATAAATGTACTCGAATCAAACCAATCATCTTTGAAAGAATATTTAAACAATTTCCTATAAGAATTATAGTGAAAACATTAGATTTCCTAAATTCATACAATGAAATTGTGATAATTCTATATCTACATTCTCTCTTGTTTTTGACTCGACGTCCTACGTTTATCATCTTCAATTTATGTTTTATTTCATGATGTGTTTTTTGTTAAAACTGCAAAAAAAATATATTTGGACTACCTAATTGAACTTTCCTCTATATGGCTGTATTCATAGTCCAGTGTGTTCGACACGTCAGTTGGCGCAAAGAGTAAGGTGGCTTGTTTTAATCTATCAATACTCATTTTCTCCACATTTTCTTTGGTGATAGTACCACTGCCTGAATCATCCAAAAATTCTACGAACTACGAGAAGAACCCAATAGTTAGAAAAATGATATAGTGATAATGGTGATGATTTGGTGATGATGATTGTGATCGTGATAATGGTGGCGATGATAGTGATGATTATGGTGATGAGGATGATGATAAATCGTCTGATGCTGGTGATGATGAATGATGATGGTTATGATAATATTGTAATGATGGTGATGATAATGGTCATAGTGTTTATGATGGTGATTGATAGTAATTGTACCTTCCGTGCTCGTTGCTTTGTATCATCTTCCAAAATTTCCCGTCTTTTACTCTCTTCGTTATATACAAAAAATTTCTTTGTAAGCGTGTTAAGATCTATGTTCCCATCTTCATCCGCCCAAGACAGTAACAGCCTCTTTATTAAGTATATATCATGATTGCCATGTGTAAAGTCGCCGTTTCCAGGATACCGCCATAGCACGTCGGCATCTCTCAGAGTCATCGATGCTGGGATCTCAGACGGGCAACCAGTCGAATCGAAATGCGTCATATTTGAAAACCAAATCGAGACTGCCGTGTTCATGTAACCGTTCGAGCGTACCTGATGCCAGTAGCCTGTGGGGAAACAATAAACAGATTTTTGAGGGGTAATTTAGCTGTTTATCCATTGCGTTCAGGGTAAGTTGTTTAACTTAAAGATAATAGGTTGGCAGACAAGGTTAGCGCGCTGTTCTTTCCTGCTTAGTTGAGCCTGAGGGAATAACCGTATTGGATCTTGTTACATGGGCTTTTCTCGGTTCAATACTATAAAGAACTAGGAATATTCCAGCTGGAGAGCTAGTGTCATGCCTTACTATGTGACTACTCACCCTCCAGCTATTCAAAAACATTATTGACATTCAAGAGAAGCTCAGATTGAACCTCCACTCATTGAGTGCGAGTGAGCTTTTAGAATACAGGCGTATGAATGAACTTCACAAACCTTGAGGCATGAAAAGACAATCTCCTTTATTCATGACTACTTTAGAATACTTCACTTCGGAAATCATCGGAAACTCTTCGAGATCCACGTGATCTACGTCAATTTCCGAGAAACCTCCGTACTCGTATCGTGATTCTTCAGACTGGTATATAAGATGTGTTTGCGACGGGTGTATGGTTAACCATTGTTTTGTACCGTTGAAGACGCAATGAATAGAACTAAATGGATCTCTATGGAGCATTGTTTTCCCTCCCCCGGCTGACAGAAATAAATGTGTTTCTTGAATGTTCTGAAGGAATGAGCCACACCTATAGGGATTATATTTCAGGTCAATCTATCATTTCCAGGATACGATGAGTTAAATTGGGATGTTCCTGACAATTACTGACATTGAGGTTCGATTCCTGCAATATACATATATCTGATTATATAGAACTGATAGAATTATCACACGGCTGCTTAATTAAGCTTGGTTTATGCTATCAAAGTTTCTGTGATCACAGTAGGAATTTTGCATAGGTAAATTCTAAGTTTTGAAAGATTTGCATGAAATGGAACTGACTCAGTGCATTAAACACTGAATCAGTTTCCTCAAACATTTCTTACAAATCTTTCAAAACTTAGAATTTACCGATGCAAAATTCCTACCGTGATCACAGAAACTTTGATAGTGTAAACCAGACTTTATATACTGACGTCATTGGTCACGAGATAAAGATACAGCACCTGCACCACATCCTCGTACTCAGGGTCTTTTTCGTGGCATCGAGCATAAGAGGAAATAGCCTGGGTACGAGGTTGCCTGCACCACACTTTCAACAACACCTTTGATCACAAGAATCGTTGGAGATAATAACTAAGATTTTGAACATGTGTAGCGAAGCATGCCTGAACTCTAATTACCCTAAACATGCTGGCAGTTCGATGTCGACCTCCATTTGTTGAGGGATTTGTGAGATAACATAAGAATCCATGGCCTGGTAATTTTTCAAGAAATTCTTGATGGTATCTTTTCCCAGGCCAATCTCACCAACTGGTATACGATCACTGTTCTCAGAGCGTGCTTCCATCTTCACTGTCAAGTCACCAAATTTCCTCATCATGTATTCTTCTGTCCAGGATTTGTAAGCCCTGGGAATGAGAGGAAAGATGGGAGTAAATGAGGGAAAGAAAGGATGATTGGACTACAGAGAAAGAGAGACTAAGAATTAGCCTTTACCCAAAAGAGATCACAGTACATTCTGAGATCGTTTGGAGGGACAAAATATCCAGGTGATCTCGTGTTCGTATTTTAGCCAATCAGCGCTCAGAAAGGGTTGTCCGAATAGAAATCCATTTTGATGTATTCATTCAATTATATCTTTCATTATTCTTTATGAAACTAGTTGAAATTTTGTAATTATGTTTGGTTATGAGAACTATGGCTCTGACAAAAATATGGAATCGAAATAAAGTATATTACAGGAGATATTCAGTTGTTTTAATCATAAAATGGATTTCTATTTGACAACTAGTGTCAGTACTTTTCCGCGTATCAAGATCACCTGGATATGGTGTCAGGTGTCAAATATGTGAAAGAGTAGAAGTATCTATTATCAATTATCAACTTTTTAGACGAAATGAAATATCTCCTTTTTACATTAAACTTTTAATTTAAATGTGTGCTGCCATATTTTTTGTCCCTCCAACATGGGATTCGCGCGACTAGACCCAGGACTTTGGGAAATGGCTAATAAGGACTATAATACGTAGACCTTCTTTCCTAATTAGCCATTCCGAAGTTGATGAGAGGACTTGGTACGAGTGTTAAAAAGTGCCCAAATTAAGAAATGAACCAAATCACTAAAAAGACCACCTCAAAATTAGTAAGTATACAAAGTTTGAAAACGTTTACATGAATACCCTTTGAATAATAAGCTTTCAAAAATTGTGAAATTACTGATTGAAAGATTGTTTTGGGGACGCGCGTCCCAAAAACAAAAATTACAATACATTTCATAGTAAATATCACGATTTTCACGATTTTTGAAAGCTTATTATTCGAAGGATATTCATGTAAACGTCTTCAAACTTTGTATACTTACTAATTTTGAGGTGGTCGTTTTAGTGATTTGGTTCATTTCTTAATTTGGGCACTTTTTAACACTCGTCCCCAGTCCACTCATCAACTTCGGAATGGCTAATCGTTGAAGGGGTTTCATAGATGTAAATTTCTAGTGTGAATTTTATACATTTATTAAACCTAACCAGGAACATGAAAATACAACTATTGGCCCTCGCTGCACTGGCCGGGTCGCAAGGACTAAGGGTTGCCCCTGGTGTAGATATTATATAATTAAACCCTGGATGTTCATACTGATATTGAATGCACACTATCAACTTACTCAGAATTTTTAGCAGCCCCAGGAAACAACACAGGTATCCCTGCCTTCACATAGTGTTTCCAGAACTGCAGTGGATGCAGATCGTCGATGATTTCCTCCGTTTCAATTTCTGCAGATCTGTGTTCGCCCAGGGGTTTCATATGACCTCGCGGGGTTTCACCAAGGATTGTTTGAAGTATGGAAAATATTTTAAAGAGGAGGAGAACATATCTCCACATTTTGTCTGCAGAAGAAAAAAGGTTTCAAGTCATTGTGGTAGAATCGTACTCCCAGCCATTCCAATGGCTCTTTAAAGCTTAAACCTGTTGCACTCTATTTCAGAGCCAGATGTATTATTGTTGGAATATAATACTGTATATTTATACTAAAACCTCAACACAGTATTGCATATATTCAGCTGACGTTCTGATAAATCGAATGAGTATAGACTCGCGGTAGAGCACAAATTCGTACCCATATGGTCATATAACGTGATGATAAATTTTATCCAGTCTGGGTGATTAGATAGAACGTTTTCAGTGTGTTCATGTGTTCGATTTGGGTTATGCTTGAGCTGTCTGTATATGAAACTGATACCTCTTGAATAATATGCAAATCTCTTGTGATGAGCTGCAACATGTAAACAGCCATATAGATACTATTTCTTACCATACTAATACTTACATTTACAATATAGAACAAATACAGTCGTTGATCTTCTAGAACCAATAGCAATGAATGGTTTTGTTCTTGCCGACAACTACGCGATGTAGACTCGACAATATTTAGTATGAGACAAGCATAATGTAAACAATGGCACCTTTCAAAGTTATGGTTGAAGCGGGTATACCTGTAATTGCCTATTGGATTTCAAGCACAAATCAAAGTCCAACCGATGAAGACACTTTATATTTTGACAGCGCCAGTGGTACGGCTAACGTGTTTTTGACTTTGTTTAGTTGCCACAATAAGCGGTGTTCATGAGATGGTATTTCGAAAACCTTTCAAAGCAAATCACTGGAGCATTTATATTTATAGTGTTGGAATACAATTATGCAAATTTAATATCGTTCTGAAGGCCATGTAAAACAATATCCCGGTTCATCAACAGTAGGCTACAATGAAAACGTGCGGGCCGATCTTTTTTATCCGTATCGAATCACATTCACATTTGCTATAGATGCGCGGAAGAATATGTTCAAATCACGCAGCACAATCGTGTCTTCCCAGCCACCAGTGGCGTAACCCATTTCATTTGGGCTCAGCCTGGCTCAAAGCAGGAGCCCCTCACCTATCCGGAATTATCAAGATCAGCAGAAAAAATTGGATGAAAAATGTCGGCAGATTAAACCGTGGGCCATGCTTACAATTCTCCCGCGACTACAGTTTAGATAATAAGGCTCTATGTCACATTATTGCTAATTTCTTATCTAATTGTTGTTCAGAATTAACCAAAATTGAACCAATTTGTTTTTCGGCAATGTCCATTTGTCCATTATGAGTTATCGTGTTGATACGCAAACACACTCAGACTGTCAGACACATGCACATACAATTGCAAACATAACTTCCCTGACGGAGGTAATGACGATACTGAGAGTGTAATGCATGCATCGCCTCTTATGGAAAGCCATAGCTGTCTTAAGTGATCAAACGGCATTTTGTTGGGTGCTTTTCGCATTATACGCGGTGCTTTCACCATTATACGCGGTGGTTCGAGCATTATACGCGGTGCATTCATAATTTGCATCATTATGTGGTAGTGAGCCAGTATGTTTGGACAGCGGTTAATATTTATTTAGTTATCAGTCCACAGATGGCCCAAACTCTGAATGGTCTATATATTTTGAATATTATACGGAATATTTATACGTTATAATCTCTGCGTTGTAATATTTAACGAAATAATTAAAAAAAATATCAACAATATACCGGGTGTCCCCAAAAAACTATATCTATTATATTAAAGCTAAAACTGAACGGTTTAGAAATAGTTTTATCCCATATGCAATTAGAACTTATTCGTAGTTTTAAATTAACGTTTTAATAATTTTATATTTTCTTATATAGCTTATTTTGAATATGTATCTTAATTTAATTAACTTCATATAATGTAAAAACGTGTAATTCAATCCCTGATTGCAAAAATCACAATCGCAGTATATAACATTTAATTTTCCGCGCGTTGACAGAGCTGGACCATTGGCGTTTTGAAATTGAACTACCATTTCTGAAAAGGTTAAAAATTAGCATAAAACGGCATATCAAATTTTTATTCTTGCTAAAAGAATGAATTTATGTACAAAGGATTGACTAACTGAGTCTACTCATCAGGAAAAGCGTGTCTTTGAGCCTGAATGAACCGTTGTGTATGCTCTAGAAATCATGCCATCATAAGCGTTTTGAATCATTTGTTGATCCAAAAATCTAATCGACAATGTTTACAGTATTTCATTACGAATTTGAATCACAATTAGCCCATGCAAAGGACATCAACGTAAATTATTACTTTTTTGTTTCATTCACGTAAATTATTACTTTTTTGTTTCATTCCGATAAGAATCAATCTTTAAGTGTAATTTTTATTTCAAAAGTAAATTTGCAAGGGAACAGCCTAAAATTAAAGATAAAATCACTGAAGTTAAAAAGATTCCATGTAAGTGACAACTGCTTTCAATTTAGTCTGATGCGGCAATTTTTGTCGTTTTTTCGACAATGTTTAATTAAAACTCCTCGGAACTTTAAATACGAAGTCAATATCGTACGGAAAATTAAATGTTGTATATCAAAATCTAAGTTAATCCTTTGTGAATAGAATGGTTTTCATTTTAGTGAAATAGCATGGTTTTCATTTTAGTGAAATAGCTTTAAATTTAATATAGGTTTTACGTTACATGAACTCAAACAGTGTATAGTTTTTTTGGGGACACCCAGTATGTAAAAAATATAGCTAAATTGTTAATAGATGCATTGTTGCGTTTCTGAGTCTAGTCGATGCGATTGTTTTAGGTTTTCGCCGTACTTGAACGGTCGTCAATACTGACACTAAACGACACAGGGTTGTACAGCTGCATAACAAATTCTCTATCGCCTGTTTCTTCTTACCTGTATATAAACGCTATGTACTCTATAGTTATACTACATTCCTTAGTAATTCAGTACAACCATGGCTCATGCAACGATGGCCCAATTTGGTAAGACACCTTATATTTCATATTTATTTTACAATAAGACACCTTATATTTCATATTTATTTTACAATAGCCGTGCACATATTTTGGTATTTTATATTTATTCACTCTGTAATCCAAATCGATTTCTGTATTCTATCCTTCACATGACATGCGCCAGCCCCAAATCCCTGCTGACCATTCCATGAAGGACGAAACGCCGCGTACAGGGATACCGACTTTTACGGCACGTGACTATTTCTTTCTCTCGCTTTATATATTTTACATGTACTTCCATACACGCTTTTTTAAGTTCAGCGCGATCATACCTTTTGGGCAGATCAAATATTTTTTTACACCACAGGATATATTTTATGCATCTCCAATTTTATGTTTCATAAATCTACACCTGTAGCCTACTTATATTTCTTAGGTTCACATTTATACAAATACAAGTCGTTTTTCCTCAGTTTTATCTCAACATAATTTTCACAGGCATACATTGTGCCAACAACACGAGGCCATCACATGCACTATCATATTTCACACTACACTTTTGGATCTAGCATTTGGGGACTATTGTGGCATAAAATTATTACTAGGTCACCAATAGGCAATATGGTTCTCATTACCTATATCTAAACTTAAAAAAAACTGCCTCCATGCCCAGAGATCGAAGTATTTCGTCGATGACAAAAAAAATATAACACTAAATAGCATTCTTTCAACATTAATCGTGTTCGAAGTAAACGTTTTTTCCCCTCAAAAAACTCTAAATATATTGCGAAAATTTGCCGTCGCAAAACATATAAATGCTAACATGTGATCGAGACACGAAGTATAAAATATTCTTTCTAAGCCGCTGTCCAAACATACTGGCTCACTACCACATAATGATGCTCACTACCACATAATGATGCAAATGAGTATAATGATGAAAGCACCGCGTATAATGCTCGAACCACCGCGTATAATGGTGAAAGCACCGGGCGTAACGCTAATTGCGTATAATGACGAAAGCACCGCGTATAATGATGAAAGCACCGCGTATAATCCTCGAACCACCGCATATAATGCTCGAAGTATAATGATGAAAGCACCGCGTATAATCCTCGAACCACCGCATATAATGCTCGAACCACCGCGTATAATGGCTCGAACCACCGCGTATAATGCTCGAACCACCGCATATAATGCTCGAATCACCGCATATAATGGTGAAAGCACCGCGCGTAACGCTAACTGCGTATAATGACGAAAGCACCGCGTATGAAAGCACCGCGCGTAACGCTAACGCGTATAATGCTCGAACCACCCCCATATAATGCTCGAACCACCGCATATAATGGTGAAAGCACCGCGTATAATGGTGAAAGCACCGCGTATAATGGTGAAAGCACCGCGTATAATGTTGGAAGCACCGCGTATAATGGTGAAAGCACCGCGTATAATGGTGAAAGCACCGCGTATAATGGCGAAAGCACCGCGTATAATGGCGAAAGCACCGCGTATAATGGCGAAAGCACCGCGTATAATGTTGCAACGCCCCGTATAATGACGAAAGCACCGCGTATAATGTTGAAATCACCGCGTATAGTGCTAGAACCACCGCGTATAATGCTCGAACCACCGCGTATAATGCTTGAACCACCGCGTATAATGGCGAAAGCACCGCAAATAATGCCGAAAGAACCGAAAGCACCGCAAATAATGCCGAAAGAACCGAGTATAATGCTAAAAGCACCCAACAAAATGACGTTTGATCACTTAAGACAGCTGTGGCTTTCCATATTTGAGTGTTGGGGCAGGTTGGGGTGAGTTGTGGTATGGGGCAGTTAATTAAACAATGGGAAATGACCAGCCTGCTTTGCGCGCACCGTTTGCCTGCGAATCGGGCCTTATTTCAGAACCGGAACGTGTTCGTTCTTTTGATTTGGCAACTGAGAATCACGACAAATGGGTGAAATGGCAAAATTCGAACGGTGCCCAGTTCGCAAAAACAATGCTCTAATTCTTTATGTTACTTTCATTTGATCTTATCCGTGAGTCGGCCTCAACGGCCTTTGATCGTTTTCCGTGAGTCGGCCTCAACGGCCTTTGATCGTTTTCTCTGAACAATCGATTGAATGAATGACGATGACCGCGGTGCACCATGGAAAAACAATGCGCGTGATTTGCATCGTGTTGAAGTCATGTGACATGTTGCCACACGTGCTCCTACAAAATAACGAAGATTGACAAATGAATGAAATGATACCGTCCCATCTATGTTAATATTTACATATTCACATGCTGGCGATAGAAACGCATCATTAACACTTTTAAACAAATATTTTTATTTTATGCACTTTTCATGGAAGCTATACTCCATTGCAGTGACAAGCAGAAAAAAAGAGCAAGCACGTAATACCAGGAATACCGTCTGCTATGTTAATCACTCGAAAAATGCTGTGCTCCCTCGAGCGAGAATATTAAAAAGTAGCATCTTGTTTGAACCGACCAATAGGGAAAGAGAAAGATAATTAGTTTTATAAGAAAATGATTAGTGTGTGAATTAATGATGAGAGTATAGTGGCAGGGGGTAGCGTAATGTTTTGGCCTTCGGACTCAATCGGTTGGACATTTCGCTTTATAACGACGTTGAGATTGTATTTTAAGCCATGACTACAGTACGTTATGGATAAGTAAAGAGGGAAAGCAAGCATTTATTTACGTATGAAGTATTGAAGTAGCCTTTGGCAGCGAGGATATTATATGAGGATTTGGGAATATGCCAATCGTAGTCTATGAGCATACAAGATGGCTGTAGCGATAGGATTGAGGGAAACATATGTGGCGCTTATCTACATTCTCTTTTGTGTTTATAACGGAGAAGGGAATCAGACCTCATCACCTCAATATTGTCCGTATTTCCAAAACCGCGCACCTAGTCCACAACCTACTCTTGAAAACTGTACGTGGTACAAAGAGAAAGCGTGCTGTCTCAACGAAGAGTTGGCTATTATTTTCTCGAATCTCTTGCCTATGGCCGGCGCAGACGAGAAATGCCTCGAGGCATTGAATCACTTGTACTGCTACGTGTGCTCGCCTGAGCAGAGCAACTTTTTTACGCGAGACATGTTGACAGTGTGCGAGGAATCGTGCGATGTCATTCACGCAAAGTGCGCAAATGCGCTACTAAAAGGTGTGCCGTGGCGTGAGTTGTATTCAAATGGAACCGAATTTTGCGCCGCGCGTAAATTCCGTACTGAAAAAGCAGAAGCCGGGCAATGTTTTGACTTCACGAAAGTACTTAAAAGTTTTGCTATGTCTGTGCGAACGTCTGTGGTCGTATTACTGTGCTGTGGATTATACTTGGCAATACATGGCTACCTACATATATTGTGTATCTTCTAGACTAAACGCTTCCGGGTTTTACAAAATGTCAACATCTCAAAATCCCATTGTTACAAAAGCTGTGACTATTGTAGAATTTTAAATCTTGCTAATCTGATCAAGATAGTTATTCTTTGCGTTTCATTGAACAAGTAGCCGGATACTGTATAAACACTGATTTTACTGAGAGCAGAAACAAGCGAAGTGGTTGTGTATTATAGCGAAACGCCGAAACCAAGGGATGGATTATTTGCGTAGTACTAAATTTATCATCATCAGTCAAGTTTGTTTATATTCTAAGCATTTATTGTTGTTTTGGCGACGAAAAGTGTTAGTCATCAATGGATTGATCGGTATTTGCGTAGCATCACGTGAAATACCATACGCATGGAATAATATGCGTGGCTTTCAAACTTAGAGGATTTAAGGTGGCTCTATGCTGTTTTACGAAGAAAGGAATGGCCTAATTAATATTAGTGACAGATGATCTGGGCACCGCGAACACACACAAGTTTATCTGCGAGTGGAGACGAGCTATGCAGATAGTTCATCCACATTTATAAGTTATCAGACCAACTCCAAACATACCGGCTGCTGTGCAGATGGCATTAACATTACCCGTCTGTGCATATTAAATACGGCATTTAGACGAAATAAAAATTGCGGAAACAAAATTTGTTTCCCGGCCACCCGGGAAGCAATAATGTTTCCTACCAAATTCAGAAACATTTGATGTTTCCCTATGTTTCTCACTCATGTTTCCTAGTGTTTGCCCACTCTGGAAAACATGGCGAAACATTGGTAGGAAACAATGTTTCCGCAACAATGTTTCCTAGTTTGCCCATGGCTTTACTCTGAGTGTATATCCACACCGTGGTAAAGCTAATTTTTCAAGCTTGTCCGGTGTGGATATACACCCAGAGTATTAAACATCACAAACAACATATCAGACATGGTTCCTCCTAGAACCACTGGCACAAGCATACACTCGTCCCCTGGTTTATATTTATCCACCTAACACAGTCTGGTTATTGAGGTTCTGGTCAAATATAATGAGATTCCTGGTTACTTTAGCCAAATTATAGTTGGGATAAAATAACCAGGATAGGGTTATTAGTAAGTTAACCAGAAACAATTTAACCAAGGTGTTTCTAGAGCGTAGTAGTCTAGTAGATCCTGCTATTCTAGCTGGTTCGTTTGTGTTTACACTAAGGGTTCGTCATCAGACGTACCTTCTTGACAGATGACGCACTTCTCAAAACTCTGCTTATAAATCAGATCAATGCTACTACACAAAATTTGACGTGTTATTCAATGAACTTATGCACAAGATATAAGTTTATTTTTTAAAAGATGTACATAATTATGATAAAGAATCATTGAATTGAATATAGATATTATTAAGTCCGGATGAAACGAGGATGAGAGTACATGAGAGTTGGCAGTCACGTGATCTTGGTTAGCTGTTCTTAATGCTTTCCCAATACTATCATGTATTCTATTTAAGAATCGTGATTTAAGTTGAAACATAGTTGGAACACCTTTATTTAGTCGTCAAACCTTTATTTTGTTAATCTAGAGCTTGAAATGTCCCCTGCATGTAGTAATGCGTGACTCTCGTCAACTTTCATTCTCATTTGACCGAGGCTTTCATTATAAATCATACATAGGTCAGTTTCACAAAGTGGTCGACGTCAGTCTTCAAAGCTCTTGATACTTTGTAATATGGGAGCAATAAAATTAACCTAAATCTCAAATTTTTTTATTAGCAACCGAATACTACATTGCTACATTTGAAAATGATTAAGATTTTTTTTTTAACTCTGATCGCTGCGCCACTTGACCACAATCTGCTTGACCCGCTTGATAGTTTATTGTAGAAACTGACCTATTAGTCAGAAACTATATGTAATTAATTAAATATTATTCGCACTCAAATAACTATGTTAGATAAATTATACGATTACGTACAATACTCGTCATTTAGATTTAAGTCCAATTATATTAAGAGTCATTTTATGGAGAATAGTAATATTCAAGAAGCGCCCGTCCATATAGCGACAGTCAAAACAACAATCCATACCAGTTTATTCATATTTAAAAAACTCGCTGAATTTTCATCTAATGTTAACGTATAACAGCCTCTGAGTTTATCGTCCTTTGATGCGACTAAAAACTTTCTTGCTTTGCAGAATTCTGCGCTAGAATTGTACAAATCTTTGACAATAAATCCTTTCCATATTGCATTCTGGCAAGAGGTATACCAACGATCGCAAAACTCTTCGCAAAGTGTTAGTCTTTCGTCTTCGTAAAACGTCTCTTGGTTCGGTGCGCAAACGTAGCACATTAAGTAACTCGTGTGCTTTGAACACTCTTCGCTTGCAGCTTTTAAAGGTGTCGTAATAGCCGAGAATATATCGCGCAATTCGTGGTTCAAACAGCAAGCATTATCTCTGAACCATTTGCAGTTCTCAAGGTTACTCTGAGGCGACGGCGCTCTGTTCTTAAAATACGGACAGTAATGATTCACTGTGCTCTCGGCTGCGCTGAGAACGGCTAAAATACTGAATAAAATTATAGAAACGCGACTTAATTTTGATTTCATCATCGTAGCCCTGGTTCGTGAATCTGACCTGTGATCTGACTGAAGTTCAGTAACTATGGATGCAGCGGTTTTGAATTACACTGTGAAAGGTTTTTTGCGCGTATTATGATAATTCGTAAGTTCTCGCGCAAATAATGTCAGTCCTTGCGCAATTTATAATGTCGAAAATTATTCTAATAAGTTTTAAGACTTTGAGTTCAACAGCAACAAATACAAAATAAAATGATAAAAAATGAATATCTTGATTTTCAACATCGTCGGTAATCCCAGTTTATTATAAATGGCAGAAAAAAAAACGATCGGGCGGGCGGGGTTTTAATAGCAACACTTTCAGTTGTTCAAAACAGTATAGAAACAATGATGATTGAATCCTATTTTGAAATATTTATTATACATTTGGTAGTCTTTCAACAATATCATCAAATGTTTGTTTATACTAAAAAATTAAAAATATACGCGTGTAGCGCAAAAAACGGATGCTGCCCTAATGAGTAACGATAAACTGGTATATTTTTTTACAATAATGTCCACCTAAACTTTTTAAAAAGTTCAAGGGCCAGGTGAAGTGGAGTTACAAAAGGCTTTTGCGCTTATAAGATTTAAGATTTTGCGCAGGATTTAAGATCTTGCGGTTCTGAAAAACGTACATAAACCATGCTAATTCGCTCGAATTGCATGGTTGCGTACGGTTTAAAATATTGTGCAACTTTAAGCTTTTTTAAAAATCGTCCACTTTGAAAGTGGCTCATTTGTCACAATCACATTTTCCATAAATTTAAGACAATCTACTGGATATACATGTAATACACTTCAAAAATTGGCAATGATTCTACCTTTTATTTTAAATATTCAATGTTTCGCTACTGCACTACAAAGAGGTTTCCTATCTATAAGTTTAAATAAGGCTTTAAAACGTTTTATAGTTCATCGTGAAATTGGTTGACACCATATCGTTTGATCAGATCTTCAACAGTCTTCCAATTTACTAAATTCCACCAAGCATCGAGATAGTCTACCCTCTTGTTGTGGTGCTTCAGGTAGTATGCATGTTCCCATACGTCGACCAACAGAATGGGGAACAAACCATGAGAGAAAGGGGTGTCTTGGTTTGCTAAGGAGTAAATGGTGATGTGCTTGGGTAGTTTTGGATCCACGCATAGCCACAGGTTACCTGAACCAAAGATGTCTAATGCTTCGTGTACTATCCACTTCCGTAAGCGTTCCTTGTTTTCAAATGTACTGTAGATAAGGTGGTCTGTCAGTGGACCTGGTTCTCGGTCTTCGCTGGTCGGATTAGGAGTAAGCGTAGCCCAATATAGAGCATGGTTGAAATACCTAAATATAGAAATATATATATGTTCTTTATCGGATGGGAGGTCCGTATAGAGAAATATTTCTCGAGGTCTTAAAAACGGCCCGAGGCCGAAGGCCGAGGGACGTTTTTAAGACAGAGAAATATTTCTCTATACGGACCGACCATACCGGTAAATAATATTTTAATTTTTTTAATTCCTCCTCTGGATTTCCCCCAATCACTCCTCCCGCACGCGAATGAAGCTGCCAAATAAAACGTCGTTTCTATCAATGCTATCGGGAAGAGTAACATCTTTTGTGGGATAGTAAAATTCGCTTTCACAGTGTTCTTCATCGTCTGCAGACATTTTAATGTTTTAAAAAGTAGCCTTTAAACTCGTCTTTAAATTTTGAAAAATAAAAACATTGGCGCTACGGCTTTAAATCTTGCGCGGTCCGTACGGGCTCATACGGACCGCTCACATAGCCAATCAGATTGCAGAAAAGCGTAAAATACGACTTCGGACCGCAAGAAAAAATAATTTATAGTTATATATCAGCTAGCAAAGTGGTTACATCACCTTAGTATATATACATGAACTTGTGGTTAGAGCTTGACAACTGGACTCTGTAGCTCAGTTGGTTTATAGACGGCTGCACCGGAATTGCAGGGCTGCAGGTTCAATTCCTGCCAGAGGAACTATAGTTGCATTTTTCACAACTGCCCTGGTCAGGTCTAAGAATGCACGCACCTCAACAATTAGTTTTGAGGACAGTTGATCACTCCTTATAATTTTGCTTAACAAAAGCAGCAGAGTAATTTACCACTCTTGTGCTTGATACAACAGACCCCTCCCTCGCATGGCATTGACCACACTTACCCCCCTCCGACATTCCTAACGTGGTGTTGATATTTCTCTGGGACTTCATTAATTTTCGTCAGTATCTCCACAAGTGACTTCGAAGCAAGTTCTTTTCCTTCTTCCTACAGCAAAGCAAGCATGCTTATTAAAACCTGAACATTTAATTAAGACCAAGAAACTGTTCTGCATCCGACATTGGGTTTGAACCCGTAACAACGACTAGCCGGATTCAATAGACTTCAATACACTCTTCATTCAACTGGACCATGTACTTCCTGCGAAAGCTTTCAATTCAGTATTGAGTGAGGGCCCCCTATACCTCTTCACAATATGCTTTCACGTAAAAATATTTTGCCTTTTCACAAGTCACGGATTAAGAGAATCATCGATCACGTTTCACGGCTAAGTAAAATAAGCCCTTCACACAAAAAGTATAGGGGGCCCGATCACGTTTCACGGCTAAGTAAAATAAGCCCTTCACGCTTCACGCAAAAGTATAGGGGGCCCTCTTGAGTGCTTTGAGCACCTTGGAGATTTGGTTTGAGTTTAACCCCTGATCTCTAACATCGTGCTCCAAACACTGGAGCATGTATAATCTTCAAAATATATAATCATATATATGTTGTGTGTGATTCATTATCTCAGATTTTTTGAAAAAATGCTCATATGATTAGATAATACATACAGAATACCATCAAAAATACTCAAAAATGATAACTGAAGGCTAGACTAAGGCGGTATAGAATTGGAGATTTCTAGGTGGCGTGTCACTATAAAATATGACAATAGTACCATTGTTGACATTTATCAGACTTGGTCAGTCATGCATCAAAATTTTCCTACTTTACAAAAGCCCTAACTAAACATCACATTTTACTTACGCTTGAATTTCTCCAAACTTGCAAAACATGGTTCAACTGCGCTGTATATGCAGCGTGGTGACGCAAATAATGCACCCTGACCGTTTCTTCGTCGATGTGCGGTTCCAAATCACTGTAGTTGTACGGCAGCGTTGGTAAACTGTACTCTTCACGCGCTTGAAACGCCTCTTCGTATGGCGGCACGGGTTCTACGGATTTGCCTGTAGTTATTGCTGCATAAAACAGCAGAAATGCGAGCGATAATTTCCACATTTTTGCCGTAGTGCGCTTCAACAGAACTACAGTTCAAAAGATCATGCAGAATAAATAGAATTCCTTGGCAAGCGCTCTAAAATTTCATATTTCCTTATTGAAAATCCTCAAAACTTCCATTCGAGTTTCTTAAAAAATTTCCACGCAAACGCAAGATTCCTGTTTTTAAGGATAAATCTGCAAAGTGATACAGTGCATCACTGTTTCATCATTGCGCAACATGTTTTTGAGCCCTTCGTCCCATAACAAAATACATGAATACTTCATATAATGTAAATAAACTTAGTGAACTAGAAGTTACTATCGTAAGTCAAGTGCTGCCGCCTATATGGAATGTTGTATGGATTTCTTGCAAACCCAGTTTCAGGCATCAAAACTAAAATACCCATAGCGGTCGGGACGCTAATTCAAAACCAAGCTGGCTTGATTTTTGTCTGAACTACTTGAAAAAGAAGATTAAGAATATTTTGAAGACGAAGGCCGGCATCCCATCTGCAAGTTGTGGCCACTAATCTCTTGACGAAGTGTGTTAGCTCGAGTGGCTTGCTGTCGAATATTACCGCGATTTCGACCATTCATTGTCACAATTATTGTTTATTTAATAAATCAGCCATTAATAATTATCAAAATCAGAATATTCTAGTACAATTCATCTGCATAGCAAATTAAAGTGAAAAACTAACTACATCGTCAAAATTATATCCATGCATGGCTCCATTTTAAATACTATCTAATTCTAACAGACTGTCTGTTAGAATTAGATAGTAAATTGTTACAGACAGATGTTTGAATGTTTGTTTGCGTGTTACTTCCTTCAAACAGAACTACAGTACATCACGAGGTCTTGTTCCTTGAATTTGGAAATCTTTCTGATCATTGAAGGGCGTGTCGATATTTCTCTGGGATCGCTTCTAAGAGTCCTTGAAATGAGAAAAATAAAATTACATACTGTGAAAACACCCCCTTGGTTTCTTATTTCTATACGTTGTATGGAATAGACAACAAGTTTTACGTTTTCCATCCGTAAACCCGAGTCATGATCTCTAGGAGAATTTATATCAGCGTACAGGCTACGCACCTTTCTCTTGCAACCACTCTCTATTGAACAATCTTGCATAGTAGCGCTGAAAAACAGAACAAGTGTAAGCAATCAACGTTATAACACATGATTGTTAAGCCCAGTAACGATTGTTGGGGCCGGTTGTTCAAAGCTGGATTAGCGCTAACCCTGGGTTAAAATTTAACTTGCTGTTTTAGTTTATGTATTTCTGCACGTCTGTTTATTTCAAAACTTCAGACAAGTAAACTCCTATTGATCCAGACACGATTTCTGAAGAAATCTTTCCAAATGTATAGACAAGCTGTCAGAAAGTTTCCTTTAAATTTTAGGTTAACCCAGGGTTAAACTAATCCGCTTTGAACAACCGGCCCTGGTCGAACGAGGGTAAGAGTTGAGAAGCAAGAGTTTACATGAGAGTTATCTCAACTCTCATGCCACGGCCAAACGAAAAGAAGAGTTTAGCAAAATCTCTCATCAAAATTTGAAGCAGTGCACAAAGTTGATACGAGAGCATGCGAGTTGGCGATCAAACATCTTCGTTTGACGGAGGCTTCATATTAGGTACAACAATAATATTTCTAGACAACTTACTTGACCTGTGTCACACAAGCATGTCGTGATTGTGTGTCCTGGACCGAGATGATTAGCAACCTGGTACAAAAAAACACATAGAATATGTAACAACATTTCAGCATAATTCAATTGAAACAGTGCTTTTAGACTTGACACTTCAAATGTAACAATATATGCTGTAATTGTAACAATACCTGAACGGCAGCGGCCACATTCAATCCTGAAGATGCACCGACGAAAAAGCCTTCTTCGTGAAGTAGATAAAACACCTCAAACAGTCAGAAGAGATTATATAAAAATCTGGTACGTATAGGATATAAAAACCTATACTTACAAACAAACGAACGAACAAACAAACAAACATTAATTTATCTTACCATTTCAACAGAGTCTCTATCCGGGACATGTACAGCATCATCGATAATACCTTTTTCAAAAGCGCCTTTCATATTTTCAGTAACTCGTCCTTGCCCAATACCTACAGCACAGTTTAATTAAATCAACCAGCTCCATAATGTAATCACTCCTCGATTCTATATTTGCATCATGCTAAGGAATCTTAAATCACGTGAATCACATACAATGTGAAATTAAACGATCCCAAATGAGGAATGTACCTTCTGTTATCGAGTCATCGCCAGTTCTTTCTAATTTGCCACTTTTGAAATATTCATATAACACACTGCCCTAAAAACCATTGTTATAAAGACGCACGGTTAAAATGTGAACTTTTTTTTTTATTTATCTTGATCAGTTTATGAAGGCAATGCATACCGGGGGATCAGCAATAATCACTTTTACTCCAGGATTCTTCGTTTTCAGAAACATACCGGAACCTTAAAATAGTACAACATACAACGCCTTTTTAGTATACCGCTGTTTCGCGGGACCCGTGGCATATTATCAGCGCGGGGCCCCTTGAACCCCCTCCCCCACGACATTTTAAACACTGAATTCAGAATGACTCGCAAATCCTGTTATATTTCGTAAATTGAAAAGTTGCCTGGGTATACTTTGAATATTGTCGGCATTACCATTCAACTTGGATGGTTTATGCCTTTGAATATTACCAGCGTAACCATTCAACTTGGATGTTGTTAATCTGGCCCTGAACCAGTCTTCAGATATATAAGGGGTACAGAGTCATTTGCAAAGAGTGATTTACAACACATTCATCCATATTTTGGGACTCAGGACTAACTACTGTATATATAGGCCGTCGTATTGTTGCATTTTCACAATAAAAGTAAAAAAATGCCATTTCCAACTCCCTTCAACATTATATCCATGTCTACCGGCAAGTGTTCCACCGGTTCCCGTTGAAAATGTGATTGCATCCACTGTGCCTTCCGTTTGCTGCCATATTTCAGGACCTGTAGTCTCAAAGTGCGCTCTTCGATTCGCTGTGTTGTCGAACTATAGTTTGAAAAATACGCCTATATTATTGTAATGCGTAAGATGGCGATTTGCAATTTATAAGCATTTGACTAGCAACTACCTGGTTTGTCCAGATTGCGTTGTCCAAACTTTCTGCATATCTTTTTGCCTAGTGAAAAAACACACATGCAGTTCTATCGGAGACGAATGATCTGTCAAGGGATTGGACAAACTGAAAATATAGAGCGTCTGATAATTCGCCTTTAAATGCTCGGCAAATCTAGCAGATCATCTGTTCCATTCTGCCAATATTCTGGCATGTGGGTACTGCAATTTAGTTAATCTATTTACCCCTCAATTCACCTAGTTGTTTTCGTTTTCTTCGTGTTTAATCCACCCCCTTCATATTCTGGTAACTTAAACATTTTTCCGGGTTCCCGTAGTTTTAACTGGTTCCGTCTTGCCTTTCCCGTCTCGTCTTACCAGGAAAATGGTAACCGGGCATGACTTGTTCCCAGAACCATTTCCAGAGGGACTGGATTACCAGGGGGACTGGATTACAAACTATGTTTGTATCAGTTTGTGGTAATCTTCAACATATATGACAAAACATAAGATTGTTTTTTGCTTCCTTACATGAGCGCTATGCCTGATGCAAAATGCCGCCAAAATTAGTTGTACCAATTTTCGGCACTGCGTATATATGACCTGTGTCATCGCGTCAATTCTCTGCAAATTATAAAATCTCTAATAATTATAAATCATTCTTTGAAAAAACCCTATAATTCTCAATTGGTTATGAGGGAAAATCTTTGAATAAATTGCCAACCAATATACCTGATGGTTGTAATTGTTCGGATTATCATATGCTACCGCTGGTACTGGTCTGACGTCCGCACCCAGAACTCTTAGCATGTCTATCTTCTCCTAAACATTGAAGGCGTAGTTCAGTCTCTATTACACAAATCCTCTCTTCGATCGGCAATGTAAACTAACATCACGCCTGAAACATACGCACCTGTGATTGAGTATCAGGCATATAAATGACACATTTGTACCCGGATGCTAAGCACATATGAGCAAGACCAATACCTGATAAATTGCATAAGAGTTAAGAAGAGCTACAGGTAGGTAGAATTAGCAACAGGGTCGTTGTGAAGAGGTTTAGGGGGGTATTGTATTTGCCGACATAACTAAAAATTTGGCGACCAAATTTTCCAAAATATGTGTTGGGGGAGGGGCAGAAGAGACAACTTCATCATTTTCACAACTTTATTGTTTTCAACGGGGGTGTCACACCCGCAACACCGCCCCTTAGCGACAGCCCTGATTAGCAATGTCAAGATAACCAAGGAAACTTTCTCACCAGTATTCCCTGCAGTTCCTTCAACCACAGTGCCACCTGGTTCTAATAACCCTACAGTAAAGACATTTTATACAAGATAGAATTATACTGCGATTACTGAGGTTTGTTAAGCAATACACACAAGAAGTAGAGCAAGGATCTCAACAGTCTGTTCCCTCAGTTTATTAAACTTAACTAAACGAATTATATTTGGATTGGACTGGATTAAGCTCTATCAGTTCTAAACTGTTCTCCCTAGAATTCATGTATTGCCCAATGAATTTTGACAGATTTTGAAATTTTATTGTAATTAATAGATCAGATCTCAAAACCTTTTTCCTCAGCATCTTTAATTAAATATAAAGCTGCTCTATCTTTCACAGATGCACTTGGATTTAAAAATTCTGCTTTCACCATAATATTACATCCTGTAACAAACAATTTGATCAACTTAGCTAGGTTGCATGGATGAATCTCATAAACTGTACAGGGTGCCAAACAGGGACTTGTAATATAGGGTGGAGTGCAACCAATGCAGGGAGGGCTAAGGGCATTGGCCAAGCTGGTTATCTTTAATTTGAAGTCCGGAACAGTTTTGCCTAGATATAGTCCAGGAGATCTGAAAAGGCTTAAAATAGTTAGAAACTAGCACCCTCATTGGTGAAGCAAAGAATGGGGGTGCAGATCGATGACTGCAGTAAATCCATCCTTGTACATTAAAGGATTCTTGTTTTATCATAATTAAAATACCACATGCCTGTTGCTTCACTGAGCTTGTTTAGTCTAATCAATGGAGTCCTATAATGAGATATTATTGCATTATGAGATTAAATTTACCATCATGATAAGTTCTTGAACATAGTAGAGTAATTATTTTAATGTAAGAATAAATTACCTACCATGCAACTGTCCCTCTGAAGCCATTGCGAATGCTATCCTGTTTCAAACACAGCGGTAAAAGTTTAATTCTTTCTGTTTGTCCAATTGTTTGTGTAACACTGATGCACCCTTAGTCAATGAAGCAGCATGAACAACCCACACACTGGTGTAGCCAAGCTACACCACTACTTTTGTGGTATTGTTTACTAGTATTAAGTATTTTGCTTGCACACTGGTGACCAGAAGGGCTAAAAGGGTGTGGTCAATGCATGCACATATATTTCAACTTTGTGAATAGGGTTTGACTTTTGCAATATTTAGTTGGCTTATTATTTCAGGCTTGTGTGAAAAAAATTTCGGTCAGTGTACCATTTTAGGGGTCAAAAATTTTTTCCGGACATACCATAAGTGAAATATAAACTGTAAATGTCTGAATCTCATAATTTTCGGACAAAAACCATTGTTCTAAATGTGATTTATCACGTAATTTTTTAAAACTAAAAGGGCACTTCTGCCCCCCCTGCCCCCCTAGCAAAAGGCAGGGGGGGCAGCCGCCCCCCCTGCCCCCCCCAGTTCCGGCGTCCCTGCCAGTAACAGATAATCCTTACTGGTTTTAGAACTGATAGAGCTATCTAGTTGAGTAAAACACAAATAAATATTTCTACCAAAAATGTAAGGTTATACATTTAATACGAAATATAACCATAACAATAATCGAATTGCAACACTGTTATTGTTTTATATAATTCTTGATATTGTAAACAATGACGTCATACCAAGTTACTAAATTGGTATAAAAATGCGTAAAATTTCTTGCAAATGACTAGTAAACAATACTAAACATATACTATAAACTTACGCTATGAAGCGATCGGGCGTTAAAAACCCGTAGTAATTTTGCAAATCGACCCATCATTAAACTGGGACCAATAATTAGTACCATATTCGATTGTTGGTGCGTTCAAAGTCCACTGTGTACCATCTATTTGGTACCCGGGCAATCGGCGACTTTTTTAGCGGCGGGTAGCCGTCGTCATAATAAAAAGCGTGCGAATATTGATTTGCAAAATGTAGTAAATATGGTTGTATTTTGGCAACTATAAAATATACTTCATTTTCAACAACTTCGCTATGCTTTTTATTGATGAGCTGAAGTGGGGAAAGTTTACAAAGGATGACGGTTGAGTATTGCTGTGTAATTTTAACAAAACACCTGCGATACAGTTGATAACTATCGCTTCACACCTCGGCTGGAATGGACTGGCCTTATTGTGGCTTTGGCAGCTTCGGCCAAAATGAACTTTATGGCGATTTCGGCGGGCTACGAGAGGAAGAAGTAGAAGAACTGAGGTCGGAAAGAACCATTAAAAGCGGCCTAAAGGTCAGAATAATGCTTTGTTGTTTAACTTAACGTCCCCAAAGGCCAAACATTATGTTCATTTTCATAGAAACAACAACAACAAGTAGTTGCTATCTTTCTGTTCGTTTTGTAGTCTGCAGAAGAGATTGAACGATTGACCGTGGATGAGAATTTAACAGAAATCGAGAGAGCTGTGCTTTTACTTAGGTATAATGCTTTCTTCATTAAGTGCTTTTATTTGACGATGTCTTATTAATCTTTATATTTAAATATCAACCGAGATTTGCGTTGAAGGCAAGAGATTAGAGTACGGGATGTCCCACTATGAAACATTAGCATTTTTTAATATTTTAGTGCTTTTAGTTCGTTATATTATTGAATACTGCACAAATTTGTGGTGCAAAACATTTAACAACATTTTCTATGTTATATATTCTCTTTGTTTCGGGTTGTTGATTTTGCAAGTGATTTCAGGCTTGAATTTTAATAAGCTTTGAAAGAAAATGATAGCAAAAGCAGTTAATTACAGAAATTGCTATGACTTGTATAAATTAGCTACCATCTGCAGATTTAAAAAACATCTCACTAAATTCTACAAAAAAATTAATACACATTGCAAGTTAAAGTGTTTTTTTCAAATACTATGCAATACCTATACCATTGAGCAGCAGCTCTCTCCCCTTGACAAGTAAAATCCCCTTGACATTAAACAGAAGAAAATAATAAAGTGGCAGCTAGCCCACTTTAGCATAATGGATTTTTCTGTGTTTACATCAGACTTTTTTGGCAGCTCGCTAGCCAACAAAATGTACCAGGCTGACAGCTATAATCATGGCTCATTGCAGTAAACAACATACCTATCCCATGGAGGAAATTGGAAGTTAATCCCCCCCCCCCCCCCCCTACCCCCTTTGGATGTCCTAATGCACTTACTATTATCTGATATTTTTTCTCTCCTCCCCCTCCGGGCAGCAGAAATTTCCTCTGTGTGTGTGGAGGGGGTGAATCTCTTCTGGAACAACCAAATAGAATTGTGTTCTGAAATATTGCATTATTGCTCGCACGTACACCCAATTGGTTAAGCAAGTGACTGAGCCCTGTTAAAAATTTTATTTATAGGGGAAAAACAGGCTTACATAACCAGAAGTCCCAAGCAATGCAAATGCCTGATCTGGGCAAAGTGGGCTACGATGGTTAAATAGCCGGGCTTGCCTTGTATCTAATATATATCCAACACCTTTGTATTAAGACCTAGAAAAATATTCTGCAGTTTCATATCATAAAAGTAGATAATGAGGTGTTTGCAGTTACGATATAAAGATTGTTCTAACTTAGTCTTTACAACCATTGGAATGTATGTTGTAACTTGTTTTCTAGTTCTGGGATAGAAGCTCAAAAAGTCAGTGTTATCAACAACCTCCCATCTTTATTTGAACATAATGCTAACGATGCCATCAAACAAGTTATGCCTCTTGTTAGGGTATGTTTTGTTCAAACGTTGTGCCTTTCACTTCTGAGATCCAAGGTGGAACAGTGGCATAGCCAGCCTGACCATTTGGTCCCACTTTGCAAATTTCAATTCATTATTCATTTCTTTAGAAATTGATTGTGTTGATAGTTCATAAACATGGCAATATTAAATATAGCATAAATGTGCTGGCTAAACCACTGAGGTGGAATACTGCTTTATGGGTTAAATATTTCATTTGTATTTTATTATCTTTATATTTCAGGAATTACTGTATATTGCTCCAGTTGAGATACAACTTGTTGCCAGTAGAGTTTATTGTCATATCATTGAGAATGGCTTGCTGCCAATTTATGCCTTTACTTCAACATTTTTACCAACTATCTTGAGCAACATGGAAAATAAGGACCCAGGTTGGTTTGGCAACTACTTGTAACGTTAACAAATTAAATATCTACTATCGGTACAGTACATTGCATTAAAATTGTCTCAATCTGTGATAGAACTTTAAATCAGTAGTGGGGCAACACTCTCCCCCCCCCCCCC